CTAGTTAACAACATTTTCGAAAATCTAATATAATATGAGGTTTTGCAAATCATCGTATATAAATTTGATTTTAGGTATAAAGGATAATATGATGTGTGTTTTTAGCTTCATTTTGCTGTTTAGAACTGGTTTGACCTCGCTTTCACAACTTGTCTTACGACTGACCAAAATAACACGATAAGTGTCAGACTCGGACCGCTCAAAATGAAGAATTTTTGGATTACCCAGAAAAATACAACACATGTTGTGTTAGAGGGAGTAAATTACAAGGAAATGAGATGGATAGACTTACTAGGCCATATGGAGGAGAGATATCAGAATCGTCCAACAAGATGTTGTTAAAAGACAAGACTTGACCTGACTTCTTTATTGGTGAAATGACCTCCAATTATCTAAGATGCTGCCGATGAAATATCTGAGAAATTACCGCGACCATGACTAGAATGACAGAGAGCGCAGAAAAATAAAGGTTCTCTAAGGTCCTTCTTATAGCGTTATCAAGTTGCTAAAACGAGGTCAGACCAATTCTTGGCATCGTATCACAAGCCAGACCAATTTGAGTGTCCATACAAAAATGAACAACATTTAATATGAACATCTCGTTACTTTTGATCTTTAACCCAGACCTGATACCTCGTCTTCCTTGGACCAGCTCCACCATGTCCCTCAAACCCGGTCAAAAAAACCCCACCTTAAGACCTCCACTCAAACCCGCCAAAGGATACTCAATCGCCAGGCCAGCCTTGAATCAACCTGCTTCTCAACCATCACTAGCCCCCAGCAGTCTCCAGCTCCACCAAGAGTGTTGTCTTCGCCTCAGTTGGCCTCGTCCTCACGGCCGCTCTTAGCATCGTCTTCCTTAACACCATCAAAGCTCATACTGCCGTCGCCAGCAGAAGAGTCAACTGTACCTTCGTTGGCGGCGGCAGTTGCCCCCACGCAAGCCCATTTATTGCGTACGCTGCAGCGGATAAACGCTGAAATGGCCGGTCTACGGGCAGAGGTAGCAAAACTGTCGCGCCAAGTGCATCACCTGACGCATGGCATGACGGAACGCCAGACAGAAAGCACAATTGTCATTTCCACACCTCCAGCAGAGCAGACTCACATTCAGCCATCAATAGGACATCGCTTTGGCATGACGAAATTAGCGTGTGGTAACAAGATGGCCGGCCGATCTGTACCACAGCCCAGACTTCCGACTGTCCAATCAGGCCTGTCTCTTCGCGTTTCCCGAGGCACCTCGACTCAGCCAGTCCTCTTCGCTGACGAGCTTGAAGGTAGCGTCTACTCTCAAGTCGCTCGGCCTAAGTTTTCCTCGCTGTCCACGTCGAGTAGACGCTCGCCTCCTCCTGGCTCTGTTGAGCAGACCGAGGTGAGTCAATGTGAGTTCGGCTTCAAGCCAATTGGCCAGCGTCTGCTCAAAGGCCCTAATCGGACGGCAGTTATGCAAGAACACGAGTCTGAGGCCGATCACTCGACGGAGATGGAGGAGGAGTCATGTGCTCTGCCACTTGTCGCTAAGCGACGAGTCTATGTGCAGAACCAGAGGCCCGCGAGAGACGACAACATACCACATCAGCACTTCAACCCTCCTTCTGTATCGGTCTTTGAGCCGCCAGAATCTCATATACATGCCGCCGAACAGTCCCATCCGGTTTCTGACTCAATTCTGCCACCGAAGACCAGCTTGTATCCATGCCGAACTTCCTCATGCCCCACAGTAGCAACTTCGGGCCAAGCAACAGGAGAGGTAGGGTATGTTTTAGGCTCAAGTCATCGGACAGTGACATTCAGCCTACCGCCAAAGGTGCTGGAAGAGCAGTAAAGCTACGATAAAGAGTTTGTTTCCACCTACTTGGAAGACGATCACTTAACGCTGATGAAGATTGCCAAAAATGAGACAAATGGAGTCCGAGAATGTTCATTTATAAATGTAAAATTCCACCCCTAGCGAAGTTTGAACGAATCCTAATGATGCGATATGACCCAGAGTTTACGGTGAATGTAGCTTAACAAAATGTAGCTGAGCCTAAGATATTAACTCGCAAAACCAAAATTGTATCATAATTAGCCAATTTGACAGATTATTTTGTCACATCTTGAGTTATTGAAGTGATGGTCATCAAAGGTTGAGCATAGTTTGCAAGCTTTCCCTTCATACGATATCGATTACGCAATGAACGCCTTCG